CTTGGTCATCTGTTTAGGATGCCTCCTGGATGAATCCCTGGTGAGGTGTTCCGGGCACGTCCCACCGGGGGGAGGCCCCGGGGAAGACCCAGGACACGCTGGAGAGACTATGTTTCTCGGCTGGCCTGGGAACGCCTTGGGGTTCCTCCTGAAGAGCTGGAAGAAGTGGCTGGGGAGAGGGAAGTCTGGGCCTCCCTTCTTAAGCTGCTGCCCCCGCGACCCGACCCCGGATAAGCGGAGGAAGATGGATGGATGGATGGATGGATGGATGGATGGATGGATGGATGGATGGATGGATGGATGGATGGATGGATGGATGGATGGATGGATGGATGGATGGATGGATGGACCAAGAATTTTGTTGGCTATCTTTGGCCTGATTGCGCAGATCATATATAATCGCTTTCAGTGCAAAATACTACACATCACCTGTGTCGGGCATTTCACGTCAACCTTTGGTTGCAAACTTGACCTCTACTTCACCTAAACACAACAAATACATAAAAAATGAAGTGTTATCAGCAGAGATCAATCATTCCACTGCTAAAGTACACATCGACCAAAATAATCTGTGACTCACTTTCTATTTGCATTCAGGAAGGTTTTTTTTTTTTTTTAATATATGAATTACTTTCACTGATTCAGCATTCATAAGGTTTTAAAAACCTTGGGAAAATTTGAGCTGTCACAACAAACGGTGCTTACTTAATTGCGGTTAACACTATTTAATGCTGCTGGTCATATGCATGAATCTGCGTATGCATAAAAACTCGAATGCATAAGAAACTAAAAGTAGCATGGAAAAAGTCAGCAACACATCCGACTACTGAATATTAAAAAGACCAATGGAACAGAAATAGGTTACACTATTTTCAACAGCGCAAAACTGATGGCACCATGGGTCAATTGAATCTGACAGAGGAAAAAGACGTTTAGTCTTTCTGCTCCATGGGTGCTTGCTCAGCATGGTTTTATTTGGGTGAAGTTCATCGCTCTGTTTTGCAGAATTGATAAGGTTTCTGTTGTGGTTTAAGGAACTTATTGTGATATTACTAAAATTAGAGGGAGTTGGTGTTATCAGTAATGAATCAACCATGATGATGGAACAGAGAATAAGTCAATATGACTAAGGAATTCTTCTGAAGTCCATAAGGTTGCTCGATCAAATGAAACTATGAACAAATATTTTTTCTGCATAACAGCCTGAAAAGCCATACTCCCTACCACAATGATTAAATATGTGATATATGACCGCACCCACGAATGTGTGGCTGTCAAAGGACAACTGGTCAAGGCTGGAGTCCACCCTTAAAGCCCTTATAAAAGTACATTATGTAGAGTTTCCTGTTTTCTGTGAAGCTTTCACAACAGAAACTAAGAAAAGCCACCACAAGCTTACACAACCTTTATTATTTTATCCTTCCTAGCGAACAATCAACATAAACAATCACCGAAACAGTTGAATGGACAAACAGTGTGAAAGTGAAAGAGGAATGTGGTGACTCTGTAGGTAAAAAACAAATGTATTTCCTCTAAAGGTAACATCATGCAAATACAATATGTAGGAGCAAAATGTGCACAGGCACTGAGAATGTGACGCAGATGGGCCGAGGAAATGTAAAGGCACAGCTGCAGAACGTTTTGCAAGTCATCAGTTCTGCAGATCAAAAGGAATCTCACCGAAGACTCCTAAAAGCTGTCAGCTGTATACTGTGAAGCCTGAAAACATTTTCTACCACTTGTGATAACGGCAAAAAGTGTTGAGCTGAATGTAATATCGGATGTGTGGTTTCCGGTAATGTGTGGGAAAACTGCTGACGGTGGATTGTTGGAGCCCGTGCGACTCCATCAGAAACCTCTTTGGTTGTAAAGGGTCAAGGAGAGACGTTGTCGATCTTTATTGATCAGAAGCGTTGCACAGAAGTCAACTGTTTGGCATGATGGGAGGGATTTAGCTTTGGCCTCCCTCAAAAGAGAGACCATTCTGCAGATCACTCCCTCTGCAGCTGGACTTTACTCTAACTGGACCACCTTTATCACTGTTTCGTAACAACGAAACCAAAACGTCTCATTACATAAGGGGGAATACGTATATTGAACACAGTGAGATTTTCAACTCATCAACACGAAAACTCTGATGACAGCAATTTCCGTGAAGAGCTGACTAAAAGTCTGCTTACTGAATTAGCTGGTTTTCTGCCCACTTCACTTTATCTGGTCACTTGATGTGTGAACACATCAACCCCCTGTCAATCGCTGCTTTTTTTATTATTCTTAAAATACACCTGCCCCCACACACTGAAACAGTTTGAAACCCAATATTTAGAAAATAGCTTTATTCAAATCGAGTGGGAGTCAGACAAATGAAATGTTCGATCAGTCACAAGATAATAACATATTGGATAAATAACATTTTCACTAAAAAGGATTTATCCCACGAACTGTGATTTATATTCTTGTCTTTTGCAATAAGTAAATAGAACATATTTGAGAAATTCCCCCCGTTCTAAAATGAAGCACTATCATCTATTATAATGTTGTACATTTCTAATGTAGTAATCAAGTTATGCCCTTCAATTATTGACATGGTAAGTTTTAGAATTGCTTTGTTTTAGTTTTATTTTTTTAAATGAAGAACATTTAAAAGAACTTCAATCTGCTAAAGTCATTATTTTCCATTCATATAATTTGCCTTATGGGCTTTCATCAGGAAGTTCAGCCTTCCGTTGATTAAAAACTATTTATTGAAGTTGCATCAGCATGAAACTGATCAGTTTCTGTGCTGACTGCTTTGTTTTACATAAAGGCTTTGCTGAAACAGACTCAGCATTGTGAGGAACTTTCCCTAAAAACATTGTTAAAACTAACAGTGAGGACGATGGGAATTATATTCCAGGGTGTTACAATCAAAAATCGAAATCTAGATACGTCATTCTTTCTTAAAATAAGTGCATTTGTTCTTGAATTGAGGAGGTAAAAGAGACACTTTGCCAATAAAACAAGACAATTTACATTTAAAATAAGAAAACACAATTGCAATGTCTTATTTCAAGTGCATTTTATCTAATTATCTTATTTTAAGAGCAAAAATACTCATTCCATTGGCAAACTTTCATTTACCTACTCAAATTAAGGGAACATTAACTTACTTTAGTACATTTTTTCTTATTTCTAGATCGTTTTTCCAGTGTAATAATGAGAAGACATATTTCCCTACTTTTTATAAAAGAATAATTAAATATTTCTTCTGAATTTATTGGACTTTGAGCTATTCCAGCACAAGAATATGCTTTGAACCGGTTCTCTTTTAGGATAAGCAGCTATGTATCCATATTCATCTTCCCTGCACTATGATGCTGATACTATTTATGTTGTCTAACAAATCTCTTCTGTCTTCAATGAACAGCTGCTTTTATACTGAAGTTAAATTTCAGAGAGGTGGACTCACACATTTAAAAATGAGGTGACTACTGAGGGAAACTGGATGTCCTTTATTTCGATAAGGGGTAGAAGAAAAAGGGAGGGAAATATAAAAACTCATGCAGCAATATTTTCAAGATAACATCTTTAGATGAAGAACATATTTTAATTTTTTAGACCCCAGTTCAACACACCTGATTCAAGGACAGAACAGAACATACCGAATCCAATTCTCTTCATCAACACACTAGATATCTATTTTAGGAGTGGAAAAAAAAGGATTGAGTTAGAAAGTCCTCCAGCATACCAAGGTCACGGCAGCATTTTTTTTGTAATTAGCCAAGAAAATTAAGTCGGCTTTTCCCAAAGATCTTGTCCAACATTGGCCTAAATCAAAGACGACAACAAGAAAGTTGGCTCAATTAGCCTCCTTGCATCCTCATTACCTTCCAACCAGTTTCGGAGAATAGATAATAATTTACTGTCTATTTAGTACAAGATGAGGAATGTGTGCTTTGTCTTCTACTTTGAAAATTTGCTGTTTATTCACCCTTAACTTTTTTTCATTGATCAAGGCTCATTCAGAGATTCACTGAACTCCATACAGCCTTTCTAAAGAAAAAACTGACAAATTCCACATTGATAAAAAGTCCTTCTGATGCAATTTGTTTCCACATTAGCTGGAGTTCAGAGTGTACTAGGCCTTTCTGTTTACTGTATTTATTTCTTAAAATAAATAACTGTTTAATAAATCTGGGGTAACCATGCAAAGGTCATATAAGAGGCAGGGTTTCCCATCACCATCAACAGAAATTTAAAATTCTTGAAAAACCAGGGTTGCATAATGTAAAAAGGCTCCAGCTGATGGTGAACAGGGCAGACAGGGTGATGATAACAGAGGATAAATGGGCATTCCATAGAGTGCAAAAAAGCACTGAGGGGGAAGGAAAATGTACTTCTTCACGTGGTTTCTCTTTTTCAAAACATATTTCTCCTTCACTTCTGCATGCAGTCATAGAACATAGTGGAATTACAAGGCAGAAAACAGGCCTGGCATCTTCACTCTCCCCCACCCGCCGTTTCTTTTCTTACGTACATCTGACACACAGAGAGAATCCAAAGCGTCATCAAACTCAAACCACAACTCAGTATTATTTCCATATTGGGGGGGACATTTTCGTTTCATATTGAGAAGAAAATACTCTGAAATATTTACTGGATTTAACCAACTAAAGCTATTTTATATCAGTTCTCTAAAACAGTTTTAAGAGAACTAAGAAATGCATCAAAAAATAACCAATTAGAGCAACTATTATAACAGTAATTACTAATATTTCACAACTGAGCATAAATAAATACTAAAACAGTGAGAAAAAAGCATTAAAAAATAAAATGCAATGCATTTAAGTAATCTAAAAATATAATTGGTTTAATATCATAGCTTAGGCCAAAGTATGGTTTTAATGATAACATTGTGGTGGGTTCCTGGATACTTTTTTTTTTTTTTTTTTTTTTATCAGACATGGGAGGAGCACATGTAAGAAAATCCCCTGTATGTATGAAACATGTTTAACCGTTTTCCTTCCTGTAAGTCTCCACCCTTTGAAAACTCTGCTATATATTGACAGCAGAAATTAACCCCAAAACATGCACATCTCAGCTCTAAAGCAACATCCTGCAAGGAGCATCTTTTTTGGGGGGTGTCTTCTTGAAAATCAAGCCGTGTCTTTAATTCCCCGAGGCTCCTCTCTGTCCAGCATCATCAGCAGCAGCAGCAACATGACTCCTGGGTCTCTCCTCCTGTGCGTCCTGCTCCTTCTTTCCGTTTCCCAATCTGCGCGCTGCGTCCCCGTCTGCAACAACCAGTGCTGCCGCTTCGTGGAGGAATTCCCCGTCAGGGCGAAGAAGCTGAGGCAGGACTATAAACAGATCAGAGATTTCTATGTGAGTAGACGAGCTGAGCAGCGTTTCCTCTCCCTGCAGCATCATTTGCTGCGCTGGAGATCTCCATGGATGCTGCGCTTTGGTTCCCTGCGCGGCTTCAAAAGCTTCTCAACAGGTTTATTTATTTCCAATTTATTTATTTTTCATCAGGAAGCAAACGATGACTTGGATGAAGCCTTGTTAGACCAGAGCGTGGAGGATTCCTTGAACCCAGCGGTGAGTTTGGCTAACTAAACGGGAACTCTCACGTTTTTAATAAGTAAATATACCAGCATGTGGGAAGCCATTAGTGCCAAGTTTGACATCTTTTAATTTTTTTTATTTTCTGGAAAATAACATGTAAAATTTTTCTTAATAGGTAGGAAACATGTTTTTTTGCTTTTATAGTGTTTCTTAATTAATATTTATTTACGACCAAATAAAAGCTGTTTATTTTTCTGCAAATCAAAAGGCATGGATTGCATAAAAGTAATTCAGAAATATTCTTTTTTTTACATTAATAACTAACCGTTGCTGCACTATAGCTAACATTTTTGCTGTCTTTATAGCAACATTATTTTCTTTGGCACTATTGTGTTCCCGTAGATCCACGGATAAACCTGCAATCCACTTACCAGACTGGTTCTGCTTTTCTTTCCTTTAGAGCCCATTTGCCTGCCAGGCCATGAACAGCATCCTGGACTTTTACCTGAGAACGGTTCTGCCGACCGCCGTGGCCGGAGTGACCGAAGAAACCACAGATTTGAAACCTCACGTGGAGTCCATACAACAAATTTTCGATGAGCTCAAGAGTGATGTCACCAGATGTGTAAGTAGCTCAGACACGTGTCCCACTCCTACGTGTAAATACTGATAACACGCATCAACTGCTGCAGAGCTTCACGTGCAAAAATGCCAAATTTTTCTCTACAATACAGAGAGAAAAAATATTCTAAATTAACCCTGGTCTACTGTTGAAATGTGCAGAACTTCCAATCCCAATTTGCTGTAGTTGTTTGGGATTTAGAATTTCTGTCTATTTAAAAGCACTTTTAATAATCCTTAACGTTTAGGTCAGCCATCTCTGCAGAGGCATGCACACTTTATCCAGTTCTGCTTACAACAGAAGCACAGAAGCAAATCAATGTTCCTCCTTTCTGTTCATTCCTTCCTGTGTAATTACTCCTTAGTCACTGCTTATTAAGCTTTTTTTTATATATATCATACCAATCCCATCAAACCCATGTGTTAACGCCTTCTCTGTACTTTCCTAATTTTTCAGAGGAACTACTTCTCCTGCAAGAAGCAGTTTGACATCAAAAACCTAAACCAGACGTATACACAGGTGAGCATCCTGAGCAAGCTTATATTGTGTCCTGCAGACCTACGATCGGCTTCTGCTTTAGTTGTTCATGTGTAATAATCATGCATTTTCTTGCAGATGGAGAATAAAGGCATGTTTAAAGCCATGGGGGAGCTGGATGTGCTGGTCAACTACATCGAGATGTACCTGGCATCCAAGCGGCTCAGAGATCATTAACAGGGATCTTTATCACCGTTTCAACCAAAAAAGAGCATAAAGTGGGGTTGATTTTTAGATTTGGGACTCACATCTATGGACTCCAACAATTCCAGAACCATGAATGTAATTATCCAATTGCTGAACATGTCTTTGTTCTGCAAAGACCTTTTTTACTTGTGTTTGTCCCAAGGACAAGATTTTCTGCTTGAGAACCTATTCTGTTGTACACAGAAAGATCGATTAACTGTATTTTTTCAGTATGGAAGTATTTATTTATTTGTACATGTCTTAAAATGTATTTACATATTTATTGTACTTTTATCTATGTTGCCAGTAATAAAATAACATGAACAAAAATGTCAAGTTCCTCTGTTGACTTAATTTATTAAGATGGTTAAACACTGCTGTCATGTGAGTAATCTGCTGGAATGAGTAACCGGGAAATAGATACTTTTTCACATCCTGCAGATTGAATACATGCAGAACCAGTGTTTAAACTCGACATGCTGATTCTCTAACCTCAAACAGGACCCATATACATCACTTACCAGCAGCAGACCGAGCCTCTGTGACGGTTTACCGTAACTGTAACTAGCCAGCCTCACCCTCATGGCATATGCACACTTGCACAAAAAACATATGCATGCAGAACGAATCTCGCTTAGTCACACACACACACACATACACACTTATAGACGAGTATGGTGTGAGCTATAAATCGGCCATATATTGCAACATGGGAAGCCGATCGCCTTATGCCTGTCAAAATGATTTCAAAATGCATGAACAATAAAATGATATATATATATATAGATATAGATATATATTAGTTTCCCTCTTTGATTCAATACACACATTTTGATATTTAGCTTTTCATATGCAATTTTCCCATGATGCACTTCCTTTATCCTGAAGCTTCGACTTGCATTTTTGTGTGAATTTGGCCATTAAAAATAGAAACCAAACGACACTGTCTTTAGTTGAAAAGGCACATAAGCTCCTCTGTCATCTAGCAGATGCATTGTTTGAATATTAGTGGCGGTATCGCTCTGACAGAAGGGTCTGTAAACTCATGACTCGGCTCGCTCTATACTTGACTCAGGGCTTTGCACTGAAACTACTCCAAGGCGTCTCTTTAGTCATATGCTGAGTCAGTGTGGGCTGATTTTGAATAGTATCATTCCAGCAATGACAGTACTTACGAAAAAGCTATCATTCATAACATCAGTCCTACAAACCGTGGCTCTTTGTTTTTACCCACGGTAACTGCAGCTTTTTTATTAGCTTTATGCAAACAAGTCTTTATAAAAATTAATATCTTTATCAGAAGTTGACTCTATTATGATCCAAGCACCCTGTATGAAGAGTTAAGTTAATATGGCCTCATGTAGCTGTTATGGAATGAGTGTGAACCTCTGCTCAGACACCAAGGCTTTCAAACCAGGGTGGGAAAAGTAGAGCTGGTCATGTGAAACTCTGCAGAGAGAGCAGCAAAGGCATCTGCTATCTTTGAAGTCCCAAAGTAGCTTGCCCCTTTTTGGTAAGGATCTTAAATGTCAAAATATAGAAACTCTTAATAAGCATCTAGAAAGTTCTGCAACAAACCTTCCATCGTTGCAGTGGAAATATTTCCTTTCTGTTTTGAAGTAAATCAATAGTTAACATTTGAGGAGAAGTTTTGTGCTGTCTGCAGAGAAAGTCTCAGTTAAAGATCCCGGATGCACAGTTGGGCTTAAATGTTTAAATACCCTCCCTTTAAGCAAAATGAGAAATTCACACTTGTGGATCAAATAAGAAAAAACAGTGCAAGTAATAATAAATGTAAAAAAAAAAAAACTAAGTTCCAATTTAGTAAAATAAAAAATTTGATTTGGAATTATGTTCAAAAAACTTATTCTGAAAAAAAAAGAAAAAGAAAAAAAATGCCTTGCTCATGAACAGTGAAACAACATACCGTCAGCAGGTGCAGAAATCTGATTGAAAATGTCCTGATCATTACAGAAAAAAACCCGATTTCACTGATTGTTGCTCAATAAAAGTGTAGTTCAGGAGCTCCATCATGCTTGGTTTGTTGTTTTATGTATATATATTCCAAGTCTATGTCATTATTTCCATTTCTTATAACTTTTTTAATCTCCATTTATTTCACTGGCAGCTGTTTTATTTCTGTCTGTAATTGAAGGGTATGTAAACTTTACAGTACAACTGTACATCAAATGTACCGGTAAGTGATGTAAAAAAAAATATATCAAAGTCGAAGAATACTCTATTTTTATTTTTTTCTGCACACCGTTGCCCCATCTACTAATTTTGACGAATATGACTTCTTCTTTACTGTGTGTATTGAAGTGAGGAAAAGCCATACATACATTAACCAGAAAAACACAACTATATTTCTAATTCCCTGTAATTCTTAGCTGTGCTTCAGTTCAGACTCTATATTCTGACATTGATCCAGAACAACAGATACTGATTTGTTTTACTTTTCTCATAATTTCTGCTTCTTGTGTCTTCTGCACCAAAGTAATCTAGCATTGCCACATTTTCAAACCACCACAGGACATGCGGTATTTACATTAATATGTGGTAATGATAGGGAGAATGATAACTGTCTGGAGATGCATAGAGGGTGTTTTATTTGTATGTTCTTTTTTGCATATACAATGAGTCTGAAGATGATTATTTAGTATTAAAACTAATGAGGAGTTTATTCCTGGTTCATAAAAAAAAGAAAAATTGCGATTGTGTGGCTGGTTTATATTTATCAGGTTAACCAAAGGAGAACTGGTCGGTACAAAATACTTTTTCCTAAAAAGCAAGAATGGAATTTATAAAACAACTAGAAAGAGCGAGTGATGTAATCTCCAAGGAGATAGAAATTGTAAATAACTCTTCATAATGTATATGTATTAAATAACCATGAGACATGACAACAGATTTTGATAGAAATTATTATCTTACTCAGATCAGAGAAGTTGCTTAGAGTCACAGAAGGCAGCTGCTCACCAACCGGTGAACATTCACTATTAGGCAAACCTAGGCAGTTTCCTAGGGCTCCAAGTTCCTGGGGGCCCCATAAAACTCCTTTTACATGTATGGTTAATGTAGCTATCACTTATTTATGCACATTAATGATGTTTTTGTCAAAAATACTTTGCTAAAGTGCCACCAGAATGCATTAAGTGTCCACCAGATTGGATCAGTCCATTTGCTGCACATGTGCAGAAAGATCCAAACACAGCAACAAACCATCTGAAAACAAATGGTGCTGGCTTTCCTAGCGCCAAATCTAGCAGCTTTTTTCTGCTACTGGAGACTTTGGCGACACCATATATAAAAGCAGCAAACTCTGTTCTCCAGAGCAAGTAGATTGGTAACCCCGCCCCCTGCTCTCCTCTATCTTGTCTGCTGCAGCTAATATTTCATCCAATTTTTTTTTTTCTGTCACACTTCATCCATGCAGGGGTCATGTGGGGTGCTGGTGCCTATCTCCAGCTGTCTACTGGTGAAAGGCGGGGTACACCCTGGACAGGTCACTGGTCCATCGCAGGGCAACACAGAGACAGACAGGACAAACAACCATTCACACACACTCACACCTAAGGAGATTTTAGAGTAACCAGTTAACCTAACAGTCATGTTTTTGGACTGTGGGAGGAGGCCGGAGTACCCGGAGAGAACCCACGCATGCTCAGGGAGACCATGCATACTCCATGCAGAAAGACCCTGGGCCAGGAGTCAAACCCAGAACCTTCTTGCTGCAAGGCAGGAGTGCTACCCACTGAGCAGATCATGAGTTGTCTTCAGTGAAAAGAAGAAATGGGTTATTTACTTTTGCTATTGGCTCTTTGGAAACACAGGAAGGAGCAATCAGATGAGTAGTTCATTCCTTTTGAGACAGCATGAAAAGTCAGCTGAGCACATTGCCAATATAGAAAAAGAGACAAAAGAAAACAGAGAGGAAAACAACAAGAAAATGGATAAGAAGAGAGGGACAAAAAGGTTGAACAAATAATGTATGCCTATTCTATTGATATTTCTGTATCTGTATAATGGGTGTGTTTTATGTGTTGTCTTCTCATTTCAGAGGGCCCCCTGCCTGCCTTTGCCTAGGGCCCCGAATTTCCTAAATCTACCCCTTCTAGCCGCGCTCACTTCTCAGGAAGTTTCCATGATTCACAGTTAAATAAGTATTTCTTATAACTCCAGTCTGCCACATCCTCACATTATCACATCATACAAAATTGCAGCTGAGGAGACATCCATGGCTCCAGCCTTATCAACATATAACAGAGTATCCCAGATAAAAACTCACTGTTAAGAAACAACTCTGCATGTGCCCCCATTTCATTTCCAAATCTCTGTCAAAGGGGAACGCCATTTTTTTTTTTTTCATTGGGCCCTTGATTTTACGCCATTACATCATGCTTTACTCACCCATATGAGTTTTGTGTCATTTGGGGCTGTTCTGAAGATATTCCGTTAGGTTATATCCAAGTAACGTCTTCCTATGGGCAACGACTTGAAGGCACAAACTAAACTGTTCATAATTTATTCTTTATGGTAAGCCAGCATTCATAACATGTAGGAGAATCACTGTCCCCCAGACATCTGCGGTTATATTATTTATATTTATATTTTTTTAAAACAAAGTGGCGCGCGTATAACGTTATCCGCGCGCTGGCTACCATTCCTTCATTCTGTCCGCTGAACTGCTGCTAGTTTTCCTCACATGCCTGGAAGATGTTGAGTGCTGCTACCACAGATGATCTCGCTCTCCAAATGGAATTGAACGATTCAGATTAGCTAGAATAAATATAAGGGTTAGAGCGTAGCCGCCTGTGGCCCGGGCTGCCTGTCACAACTCCAGAACGGCGTTCGGATGACGTAAAGTGCCTTGAGATGACGTGTTATGAATTGGCGCTATAGAAATAAACTGATTGAATTATTCTCCAGTTGATGATTAAAAGTTCAATCTGAAAAACTCACACAAGGAGAAAAGACAATTAGAAGAAATTTATTCATACAATTACTTTGTCTTTGGCGCTCAGACCTCAGCAGGAAACATAGCGCTGAATTTTGATAGATATGCATGAACAGGAGCAAAGAACAGGGCTGTTTCCCCCCAGGCCTGAAACTGGTGGTGGAGTGAAGATAGATGAAGTTGGTCAGTCTGTAGACTGCTGGTTAGAGAGACGGTCTGCTGAGCTTTATGGGGAAGATGGAATACATCTGGATAACACAGGTTGAGAGAACCTGTCCATGATGAGCAAGCATGAAGCGACAGTGGAGAGGAAAAACTCCCCGTTGGGAAGGAACCTCTTGCAGAACCAGGCTCAACATGGC